ATTTTTAAGGATGAATGCTCCTTATCCTCTTCTAAGTCAATTTATGGCATATGCTTTAAATATTAAGACCGTCTCGCCTTGAAGGCACGAGCTTATGGGTTCGGGTTCTCATTTATGGGTGATTGAGAAGACATCAACCATGGTTAATTAAGTTTTGATATTCCATAAAAACTTGACACAATGTTCAGCAATCAATGCTTAATGAAGTTTAAAGTGTAAATTATGACTAATTTAAGTATTATCGCTTCTGGACTGAAAAAGATTTCGGAGCTTGTGCTTCATTCCAAAGTTATTTAAGTATTTAATCTTGATAAAACTTAAATAAAGGGAGGGATTCAGCAGTTTCTTTTCTGAAAGTTTTGTACTTCATATTTTACTAGACATATAACACAAAATGTCCCATTTTAGTTTCATAATTTTCTTTCAATAAAATCTTATCAACAAAGTCAAAAAAATTATTTTTTTAATAAATTTCAATAAAAAACACTGAACAATCTTTTAAGTTACTGGCCACAAATCAAGTTGCCTGATTTTATCAAATATGATAAAATAATCTTATGTAATTGTGTCAATTAGCTCTATTTAAGTTATAAAGAATAGAAAAACATTACGTTATATTTAATTTACTTCTAACAAAAGTTTGAAAGAAATAACAATATTTAAGTTTATTTTTCTTATTTTGTATTACCTAAGACGAAAGTAATCAATTCAATAATTTAAATTTAAAGCACTAACAATACAATTGATACAAAAAATTATTTTGAATTACATATATTTTATTTATATTTATTTATAATTTATTTTAAGTATTTTTTTTATCAACGAAACATATGTAGAAGATAGAATATGACATTATCAACCATTTTCTACTTTCAATGTCCAAGTACCACTCATTCAGTGGATTAAAATTTAACTATGCATTCAAATCATTTAGAAAATGCCTCATTTCAGTTTCAAAACTCTTTCGAAAAGTAATAAAATGTATGCATACTTTTAAATCTGTTTTCATAATTCGGGGACAATATTTTTGTGCTTGACATACTGCATTGAAACGCTTTTATTTGCAGTGATTAATTAGTATCCTTAGTTGATCAATTCATTTACCATATTTGTTATAATTCCAAAATTGTATTGCAAAAATGTTTCAAAAAAGAAACACATATTCGAAAATATAAATTAGGCGTTCTGTTTTAACTATGTGGTTATTGTGAAATTACGTTAAAAATTATACCTAAAATTATACAAAACAAATTTTTGTGAGTTTCTTTATTAATTTAAACTGATTACCAAATAGTACAGTGAGAATATGTAATATATTCTCACATGTATGGCAATAAGTAGTCCTGAAAATAAAATAATAGAATCATTTGCAGGTTTATACACTAATATTTTTCCCATCAAAACCGTATTTAGAAAAATAAACAAATATAGGACAACAAACACTTCACTAATTTGATAAAATTCAGTCTTGTTTATTAATTCTTTCCATTTTAAGAAGCTAATATACGTCATCTAACTTGAATTTTATGGAATCAAGAATGTCATATTTTAAACCAAGTTTGGAAACATGGCATTTCACGTGTCTTATCACTTTTATACATATTTTATTTTTAAACTCTGCTAGGTGTAGTCATTTTGCGATATAGAGGATACAAAAAAAGATATTTGGCATTCTCTAGACAGAGAAAAAAATTTTTTTACTTAGTATTTTTTCAAGTGGTGTTTTTCATTTTTTTTATTTATCTTTACGAGGAAGTGGCACATGTCTAACATAAAATCTTAATATCTCACATCACTTTTTAGATAGATTTGGAAGAGCGGAATTTTAATATACTATTTATTTTGATACAACTTGAATGATGGTTATATTTATACCAAAAATATTATACTGCATGACAGAAAAGAAAAGATCACCTCATGGTGCCATGTTTATACCATGCTAAGAAAAATAAACAAATCACCATGAATAACTTTTGATCTATTGATCGAATCTTCATGTTCTAGGACATATATATGGTTCGAAAGGTTGACCTCAAATATGCTAATTAATCAGAATAGATGGTATTTTAAAAACTATATTGAAAAATTTTTATTTTTAAAATTTGATTTCTTAAGCACTATAGGACCGTTTTCGCTTAAATTTTGTGCTTTGCAGTTTTAAATTGCATTCCTTAAAATTATGTAAAAAATTAAATACCTTAAAATGCAAAGGATTTTTTTGACTATAGTTAAATATAATTAAAAATAATCGCTGTTTACTAAAAGTTACATTTTGCATGGAATTAACTTAGTATAAACGAATTTTATAAATGTGTGTAGAAATTTTAAATTCATTCAAATAGTAAAATTAATATTAGGAGTTCAATACGCTTCTACCTCTGATTTTGTAACTTAAAATATAGTCTGCTTTAATAAACTAGCATATTTGAGGTCACCCCCTCGGACTATTAAGATTGAGTTCTAGAACGTGAAAATCTGATCATAAGACCAAAAGTTATTTAGGATGGTTCATTTTTATTTTGCTCGTTATAAAACCTATATTTACATTTCGCAAAAGAACTATTTAACTAATTTCGCTCAAATTTATTTTTTTACCACTTAAAATTTCATTCTTTAAAATGATGAAAAAATTGTATAATCTACAAATTAAAATTTCAATAAATAAAATAATGAAAAATAATATTCATTAAAAAATTTATTTAAATGGAATTATTCTTTGAATAAAACCAATTTTATTATGGCGAGCATTCTGATTTGCTTAAAAAGTTTTCAAGATATGGCGAAATACGCAAAAAGTTTAATTTAGATTAAGGTGCCCAAACTTTAGTTCGTTCCTTTGACTGAACTATTGAAACTATATTTTCCAGAATGCAGCTACGTCCCTTTTCCCATATTTTATTACAAAAAAAGTTTTGAAGAAACTGCATGTTTATTCAGATTAATTATATTTTTGTGTATGGTTTTTTAACTTAAAATATCGTCTGCACTAATTAATTAGTGCGTTAAAGGTTTGGCTGTGGAATCATTAAAATTGAGTTTTAGTACGTTAAAATCCCACCACTAGATCAAAAGTTATTCTGGGCGTGTCGTTCCTTTTTTTGTACACTGCACATTTGGAATTTATATAAATGACCACTATTATTAAATCTGCTTTCAGAATAATAATCAAATCGTCTGCACTAATTAATTAGTGCGTTAAAGGTTTGGCTGTGGAATCATTAAAATTGAGTCTTAGTACGTTAAAATCCCACCACTAGATCAAAAGTTATTCTGGGCGCGTCGTTCCATTTCTTTGTACATTGCACATTTGGAATTTATATAAATTACCACTATTATTAAATCTGCTTTCAGAATAATAATCAAATCGTCTGCACTAATTAATTAGTGCGTTAAAGGTTTGGCTGTGGAATCATTAAAATTGAGTCTTAGAACGTTACGTTAAACGTTAAAAGACGTTAAAAAACGCTTAGACGTTAACATCCCACCACTAGATCAAAAGTTATTCTGGGCGTGTCCGTTTCACTTTTTTGTACATTGCACATTTGGAATTTATATAAATTACCACTATTATTAAATCTGCTTTCAGAATAATACATTATTAGTTCAAAAAATGTGGATACTTGATGTTACAGTTGGCATTGAGTGTTATTAAAATCTTAAATCAAATGCTTCGTCTCATTACCGGACTATTCCTTAAAATAATTCAACAAAAGTAATCATCATAAGTTAAGTTTGAACTTGCCAACAGCCCAAACAATGTTTCAGAAAATGAAAATTCAATGCAGATCCTAAAATATTTTCATAGCTTTCGTCGAACTCAATTGAATCTGGCTGAATGTTTAATGATAAACCGATAAGTAAATTCAATTCTTCAGGCTAGAGTCTAGTAATTACATTTGGGCGTCTCTCCAGTAATAAATTCATTTTATATTTCAACGCTCTCACTATTGTTCACTAATCTCCCATTTCTCTGTTGTCGACCCAATATATCTTAAGTATTTTGAATGAAGGAGTTGAAATAAATGCACTTTAAATGAGATGCTTTTATGCATATGCTGTTTGCGTGCAATGAGAAATATGCATGGACTTGTAGAAGAATAATGATTGTGAGATCAAGTTCATTTAACCTTGGCGATAATTTTCAAAAGTGTTTATCGCCAATCATTGATTTATTTTAAATGCTCCATAAAGTTTAAACATTTAAACTATTGATACTTTTTACCAATGGTGTAAAGAGATTAGATTATTGATAAAAATATGCGTTATACATATATTTTAAATGGACTACTATTTCATATTTTAATAAAGAAATTGATACCTAAACTCGTGTTATTTTGCTGCCATTTGTGGTATCTTGGTTTAGGTTTTTACTGTTAAGGAAACTGGAGATATTTTTCGTATTATAAAAATTTTATTATGTAAGAGGGATAAACCAGAATAAGATGTAGACACTGATGGTGTGGTATAAAGGAACTATGACTTTAAATTATCTAATTTTAATTTTGCGATATGGTTAGATTCAAGACGCTATTAAAATTGATATTGCTTTGATAACCAAATGCCAATTTGTCCTCACAAGTCTTAGATAAACATAATTTTAGAAAAAAATCATGTTTTTTTTGTTGCAGTCATTTTGCAGTGAATTGGCATTTTGTGAAGAAAATGTATGACGAAATTTTGCAACAAAGAATTAAAATTTTTTCGAAGAGGCTTACTAGTTTTATTCTAAATAATTACTCATTCTAAGTTAATACTGATCACAGAAAAATATTTTAAACAAATAAATTTATCTTACTAAATATTTTTCTAGTACAAATATATTGTTCTAAATTAATTCAATCTGCCATTTTACTTTGCATTAACATATTTTAATTATAAGGTTTATAAAACCTGAAGGCTTGTACAAATGCTAAGTTTCAAATTTCTATTTAAATGGAAATTCCGTTTTTTGATATTGAAAGAATTCAAGTTACAGTTAGATAAAAAAAATTTCATCTTACCAATATCAGTAGATCCTCCCCATGTGCCTTGATGCGCATGTCTGGCTAACTTTGTTATACTTTCTAAGTACGTTTTAGAACATGCTACTGCACCTAGAAAAGAATAAGTGTTAGATAACCATACATTATACGGATATAAGCATAAGTAATCTATCATTTAAATTGCACTTGGCAACAAGAAAAAGTGAAACTATTTTTGTTATTTATTTTTTTGCTTTCTTTATTCTTTACCCCTTTTTTTAGATTTTTTTTTATTCTCATGTTTTTCACACTCCGCACGGAATCTGGCATGATCAAAATCAATAAATAAAGGAAATTTAAATTTACAATTTTTGTACTAAAACTTTTATCTCCATAATTTTACCCAAGCTAACAAGTGATAACTCTTTATCTCTATAATTTTACACAATCTAACAAGTGATATATCTTTATCTCTATAATTTTACCCAATCTAACAAGTGATATCTCTATAAGTTTACCCAATCTAATAAGTGATATCTCTATAATTTTACCCAATCTAACAAGTGATATCTCTTTATCTCTATAATTTTACCCAATCTAATAAGTGATAACTCTTTATCTTTATAATTTTACCCAATCTAAACAAGGGTTGTAAAAGTGTATTTATATCATCTTGTATTAAAATATATTAGTCAAATGAAATATTTAAGATATAGAGAAGAATGTGATTAAACGTGTTATAGTTTAATGAAGCTAGGTATTTTTCGTTTTACGATTTTTCCCTTAATAGTCTAAGTTAAAGTAAATGGGAAAACATTTGACTTTTTTTGTGGTAAATGTGATAGAAATTGAAGTATATTTCTCACTCTAAAGGATATCAGTTAAGTTAGGAATGTAAGTTTAAAATACGAAGGTTTTTTTCTGTAAGGGAAAAAAGAGAATTGAAACAAGGTAGCAAATGAGCAGTTTTTAAAAAACGTTAAAATCCTTGTTTGAAACTAATTACAATAACTCATGAAGGAAATATCCCAAAAACTTATGAAAGTATTATCAGTTCGATCCCTTTTAATCATTAAGAGCAATTTATTGATTGATTTTCCTATTGAGATCGCTATGTCTGCTTTCAAACTTGTTATGAAAGGTAAACGTCAATAATATCATGCAATATTTAATTAGTATTCTCGAATTACTTGATAAGGCCATAATATACTGAGACAATCAATTTATTAGTCACCTCTAATTATTACATTAATCCCATGTTTGCCCTCTGCTTTAACTGATTTGCAATGCAATTTAGTTCCATTTTAATGTTCTACATCCCGTAGGGTTTCGGAAATGCAACAGTTTCTGTCCCGGTGCAGAAATCGAAAAATTGAGAATAGGTTGGTTTATATAGACTGTGAATGATGATGAGTATATTTATCTATTCATCTATCTATCTATCTATCTATCTATCTATCTATCTATCTATCTATCTATCTANATATGTATATATATATATATATATAAAAATCATAGTTGGCCAGACAGCCCAATGTGAGCCAATGCCTTCCGCTGAAGATTTGTCCTTGACGACTTCCGATTTATCTTTCATCTCCAATTCTTTTCATTAATTGCGAGAAAATCAAACTCCACTGTAGTCAGCCCATCTCAACCGCGGCCTTCCCCGCTTTCTTTTTCCAGTGAGTCTAAAAAGCAGTATTTTTTTTATTGTGTTGTCGTCACCCATTCGAATCACGTGGGCAATCCAATTCATTCTATTTATTTTTATGTATTTAATAATATCAGGTTATTTAATAATATCTTGCACAGTTCAAAGTTAAATCTCCTTCTCCAGTTATTGTTTTCATTTACACCACCAGTTATACCCCACAAAATCTTTCTCTCAAATATTGCGATACAATTTTCCTCCAGTTTTGTCATTGTTCAAGCTTCAGAGGCGTATGTCAAGACTGGCCGGACAAGAGTTTTGTAGAT